TTTTCCTCGATTTTCTTGACCCTTTTGTCTCGATTCTCAAACCTTCAGATTTCTCGAAGTCGAATTCAATAAATCGATGATTTTTACGACTTTCTACCACGGGAACGACGACAGATGATCTGAACACGAAAACTCTTTGGTCCTTTCCATTTGTACCATTGTTCAACGGAGATTGGAACTCCTCAATATCGTCAAGATAAACAATTTCTTCCGGCATATCAGTAGTTGAATTTTCCGATGAGGATTCGGCATCAAAACGATCAGTTATCCATCGATCATTGTCTCCGGCGAGATGGTCAAAGTCAACGTGTGCGATCTGATTGTTTCCGGTGCCCTGAACATCTCGATTAGTATTGCCTTTACTTGCCTGCAGTTGCAAAAAGGAGGAGTGATAGGCTTAAAAGGGTTGTTTTTTGTTTTTCAAGAGTGAAGAGTGATACTTGCCAATAATAGAAAGTACAAATCTTGAAACATATAATAGAGCTACAATCCCTATAACCTTCATGTCCTTGGAAAAATTACACAACTACCATTGAGACAATTAGCTTACAAATTATCATGCAAAAGGTACAACCTGTCGATGCAGCTCAGAAGTAAACTCTAATGCCAAAGGTCCTGTTTGTAGAACACTTGTAGTGATCTCTTCCATCAATTTGTACTTCACTTCATTTGGTACCTTAATGATAGACAACTTCTCTCTAATCTATATAAAATACTTATTTATTATATATAATTCAAAACAACATAAACATTAAAAAAAAATCAAAAGTTTAAATAAGTACCTCAGAATTGACAAGATTTCCGGGACCAAACTCAAGAGCGGTTGCCTCGAACCGCTCCCCATAACGGTCACGGAAAAGTTTTCGTATCTGTAGAAGCTCTGGGACGTCCCCACATCTTGCTGATGCAAAAATTAGGGTTGATATTGCTTCTTTAATATCATTTGGGCAATCCCTAAAATAAAAAACATAAATTATGTTTGAATTATATAAACTTTGGGTAATAATTATATGTGAGATTGTATAAATTGTACTTGTTTCGACGAATGTAGGAAAGTTGAAGTGAAATAAATTCACAAAAATTTGCCAATAGGTCGTATACATTGACTATGCATTCGTCTTTATAGATTTGATCCACCTGAAAAGTTGGTGAACACGGGTTATATATATAGAAGAAAAAGATGTGATAATTTCGACTTATTGAGGGCATGTGGCGGATTATATTTTTAGGTTAGATACAAGAATTGGCAATGTAGTTTCTTTATTTGTATAAAATAGGATTTGGATTTAGAAAGATCTAAGTTTGTAATGGCTTTGGTTTGTGGAATTGGAATGGAATCCAAATTCATTCTTTTCAAAATCTTAGTACGTTTTAGAATGTATTTATGTCTATGCGACAATATTCTCCATATTTCAGTTTTTATGAATATTTGTTTGTTTTATCAATGGTATATTAAGATATGAACATTCAAACCCAAAATTTAAGTGAAGTAAAAAAGAGCAAAATACGATAGTTGGTATTCAAACAAATTAAATACAAATTTCAATAACAAAGGATTATGAGGAAATTAATCCTTCAAATTATTAGAAATTCCACCAATCCAAAAGCCACTGATCAATTAATTAGAACAATGTCTTTGTACTTGGATTACATTGCTTGGTTGATAGATTTTATAAAATATAAACATTGTAAGAGGATGAAAAGAAAAAAAAAATACTAAAGTAAAGAAAATCAATACAATTACGAAATATATATTTTTGCATTACGTTGTTATTTTATACCGAAAGACTAAGAATACCCGATTGAAGGCAGATTGGTAGTGACCATGTTTAATGAGCTCTGCGACGTCGTTTCTGATTTGTCTGACTATACAACATCTCTTGTTTTTTAGCAGACTCAAACGACAATGAACCTTCCTGATCAGCTTCTTGCTACATGCATGATAAATCCCATCAAAACCAGAGATAAGAGATTATTATACATATAATAAAACACCAAAAACCAAAATCTTTTTGATAAAATTGCCATCGAAATTTACCACTTGGAAGCTTTTCTCCATCCAAATATAAACTCAAACATATCTATCCTCATGTCATCTCTTGCTTTCGTAAGTCTAGAAAGAGAAAGGCATACTGTGTGTATGTGTGTGAGAGAGAGTATGAACAAACGAGAGCGATAGAGAGAGGTTCATCAACTGCGGTTTTGAACTGCCCCGCTAAGGGCACGACGTACATTGAGGTCAATGGTTGTGGTGTTCGGACTTCGGATTAACTGACTATGGGGTGTTCGAAGGGTAATATCGTAAATTCAATCGTCGTATGAGGAGGGAGAGGGGGGTTAGAGTCTAAATCAGTTTCCAGAATGTAATAAGAGCTGGTTATAAAGCGTGCAAAAAATTGTGATGTTTATGTGGTTTACAATTTATATAAAAAAAACATATTAATTGTTGACCAAGAGTGAAAACCAGGGTTACTGAAAAATATTCCGATTCAGATTTTTTATTTGTGTGTAATGAGTAGATTTTCTCAATAATTATATATATAGGGTCATAAAAACCTCAAGTTTTCAGGGTTTTGTCGGTTTTGCCCAAAATTGAATTTTATGTCCGTTTTTACCCTAACATTTTCCAAAAAATGTTCGGTTTACCCTTTTACCGGTGATAACAGGTTACCATTATATTAACTTCGCAAAAAAACCCTTAAGTTTACATTTTTTTTACGTTTTTACCCCTAAGTTTATAATTTTTTTTACACTTTTACCCTATGTATTTTTTTTTTCATATTATACGTATTCATGCAGAAAAATCATATTTATAAATGAAAAAGTTTAATTAAATATTGTATTTACATTTTTTTAATGTTAATTCTATATATATATATATATATATATATATATATATGTGTGTGTGTGTGTGTGTATGTGTGTGTATGGGTTTTTTTTCTTGCATAAACCATTTAAGATGTAAAAAAACAAACTAATATGTTTTTAGAACTACACATACGTATTTTTATGTATTTAAAAATATATATATCAATAAAAAAACTTATTCATTCATATACATGTTTATATAAGTATATACATATATTTTCAGAAGTGTAAATATGTATTTTGATATATGTTTTTTTTAAAGTATAAATATATTTTTAGAAGTATAGATACATATTAATATATAAAAATGTAAAAATTGTATTTATACTTCTAAAAACTATATCTATAAAACACATATTCATAAGTCTAAAAATATTATTTATCTTTTTAAATGGTATAACCATGCAAAAACACACACACACAAACAAACAAATATATATATATATATATATATATATATATATATATATATATAACTTTAAAAAAATATAAATATAATATTTAATTAAATATTTTTTCGTATATAAATACGATTTTTCTGCATAAATATGTATATTATGAAAAACATATACTTAGGGTAAAAGTGTAAAAAAATTATAAACTTAAGGGTAAAAACGCAAAAAAATGGTAAACATAAGGGTTTTTTTGCGAATTTAATATAATGGTAACCTGGAAAACCTGTTATCACCGGTAAAAGGGTAAAACCGAACATTTTTTCGAAAATGTTTGGGTAAAAACGGACATAAATTTCAACTTTGGGCAAAACCGACAAAACCCTGAAAACTTGAGGGTTTTTATGACATTAACCCTTTTATATATATATATATATATATATATATATATATTATATATATATATATATATATATATATATATATATATAAAGAGAAATTAAATATCGTCTTACTTTTGTTTTGTTCCTACGAATCCATTTTATGTCCGATTTAATTAAATATTAATTGATTTATATTGAGATGAGGAAACAAGCGAAAAATTGATTTAAATATGATATCTTGCCAATATTTTGGATTATATAAAAGTTAATATAATATATAAATTTTGGTATATGATATCCTGCCAAAATATTGGGTTTCCATTTTGCATTTTTTTTTTGTATATACGATTTTGAATAACTCTAGTTATGATAAACTGTAACTAATAGACGCTATGAATCTTATAATATTTACCCTTTATAATATAAGAACCAAAACATGTGTAATGCCTAATTTATTATTATTAATATAATAAGATGTTATGTTTTGTATCTTAAGCCTTAAGCGCATGTTTGACAAATGACAATAATTTAAAAAAAAAATTGATTTTTTAACAAGACAATGCATATTTTTGTTTAAACTAGATAAGACGCGTAGGTTATATTTTGAGGTAATTTTTTGTTTTTGAATTATATTTTTATAGTTTATTTTAGGATTCATATTTTTTAAAAGCAAAGCAATTATTTAAGTCCAAACATACATTAACGGGTGAGGTGACAAAAGATAATAAACAAAAAAAAAAAAAAAAAAAAAATCAACTTGGAGACATTAATTTAACAAATATGAATCGTAAATTACAACTTGACTTATATTGAAATACTAAACAAGACTTGAAATAACTTCCCGTACACTTTTCAGGCATGATTGTCTCTTTGTGCTTATTGGTGCTTGAAAATGACGACACAAAAGCTTCACAAACCTTAAACCACACGCACTGACACACATACAAACATCTACTTTTTTTTTTTTTTAATTATCAATTCCTTTGTTATTGGAAGTCACAATTTTAGTTTTAGGCCACCAATATCATGCGCAAGGAGAAAAAAATGGAAATAGCAGGTGACCCAACTGCGACTCCAATTAGACGCACGCCAATGAGATTAAGAAATAAGAAGAAAGCTAATCACTCACGCATCCCTAATGTAATGATGGTGAACGTAATTTTCCACATCATCGCATACTGAATCCCGAGATAAATAAAAGTAGGTGAGGTAGTTGATTCTCTTTTTTCATCCTAATCGTCTTTTTTCGTGTGATTTTATCCATGTTTGACTGGTGTTTATGATAATTTATACCAGTTTTTGCTAAAAGATGTTTTGTGTGAGCTTAATTTGAATGACTTTGTGAAGATTTTTGATGTTGATAAAATGCACATCAACTGTTTGTTGTTATGTCCAATAGTCCACGAGACATTCATCCACTATAGTGAAACGAAAAAAAAAAAATTACTTAATAGACTTCATATGGTAAGCTGTGAATATATGTTTTTTATTTATCTAAAAAAACAACTTAAGAGAAAAAGAAAAGAGAAAAGGGTCTAAAATAGAGAGCATGTATTATACTCCCCAATCTCTAGAAAAGGCAACTGATGATGACCTAACTATCAAGTATATTGTAAGCTGGCAAATCTTGTATTCGATAAATGTCTTCCAATGATAGTTCTCTCTCCAATTGTGCTCGAGTAATTTGTAGTATTTCCTGATACTCATTTACATTAGTACAAAATAAGAAAAATAAGAAAAATCAATCATTTTCAATATATACATGATGTGCATATTTGTATAAAGAAAGAGATTACCTTGAATTCCATATATGATGCACGCATTGCAAGCCATTGAGCATCCATCAAAGCAAAAGTTACACAGTATAGAATATCAAATGCTTCTTCAGCCTGTCAATTTTCAATCAAAAGTTAAATAATTAGAGATCTTGTGGAATGTAAGTTACATTTTAACTTCATATGTTGCAGTTTACCTTCTAATAATCTTAGAAAATTAGCACCAGGAAGGCATGTAGGTTTAACTGCAAAACAAAATTTACCATTAACCACAATCACCATGAATTTAGTACTACATTATTCCCCGACTTTCTATTAAGTTGTTCTTTCTACATTAAGTCAAAAAAAAAAAAAAATAAAGAAACACACATATATATATATAGGGAAAACTGCAATAAAGTCCCTACATATTGGCCTTATAATCGATTTAGTCCCTATATCTATTTTATTCAATTAAGTCCCAAATACCGGTAATCGTATTCAATTTAACCCTTTGACCCGGTCAACAGCTCATCCAACTTTCAAAAATTACATTTTTGGCCCAGATTTCAAATTTTATTACAAATTTGGTCCAAAATTTACACTTTTGGCATAGATTTTAAATTTTGTTACAAATTTGGTCCAAACTTTACCCTTTTTGCCCAAATTTTAGAATTTTATTATGAATTCATCCTAACTTTAGTTTTTTTTACAACTTTTTTTCTCAAAGAATTGTTTCTAATATGTTTTTTCTTTATAAAATCATATTTATACAAAAAAAAACGTATTTTCACATAAAAATCTTATATTTTCTATATAAAAAAAAATTTTAAAAAGTTTTTTATATATGAAATATCTAGTTATAAAAATCTGTATTTATTAAGTATATAAATATATACAAATCTGTTTTTATAAAAAAATGTATACAAACACCTATCACCTTTATATATATATATATATATATATATATATATATATATATATATATATATATATATATATGCACACAAATAGGTGTGTATCTATATTTTTTTATAAAATTGTGTTTTTTATATTTTTTTTTATAAAAACGTGTTTGAATAATTTTTTATATAATATGTGTTTGTATACATTTTATAAAATCGTGTTTGTATACATTTTATAAAAACGTGTTTGAATAATTTTTTATATAATACGTGTTTGTATATATTTTATAAAATCGTGTTTGTATACATTTTATAAAATGTATACAAACACGTATTATATAAAAAATTATTCAAACACGTTTTTATAAAAAAAAAATATAAACAAACAAGATTTTATAAAAAAATATATAGATAAAATAGGTGTTTGTATACATTTTTTTTGTAAAATACGTTTTGTATACATTTTTTTATAAAAACGGATTTTTATATATTTATATACTTAATAAATACCTATTTTTATAACTAGATATTTTATACAAATTTTTATTTATATATAAAGAAAAAAACATATTAGAAACAATTCTTTGAGAAAAAAAATTGTAAAAAAAACTAAAGTTAGGATGAATTCATAATAAAATTCTAAAATTTGGGCAAAAAGGATAAAGTTTTGACCAAATTTGTAACAAAATTTAAAATCTGGGCCAAAAGTGTAAATTTTGGACCAAATTTGTAATAAATTTTGGAATCTGGGCCAAAAATGTAATTTTTGAAAGTTGGATGGCCTGTTGACCGGTTCAAAGGGTTAAATTGAATACGATTATCGGTATTTGGGACTTAATTGAATAAAAAAAATATATAGGGATTAAATCGATTATGAGGCCAATATGTAGGGACTTTATTGTAGTTTTCCCTATATATATACATATAAAAGTCATGTCCCCATAAAGTCTATTAAGTAAAAAAGAAACAACACCTAGAAGATCATCGAGTGATAACCAAAAAAGGATGATTCTTTTTCGATTAAACTCAACACCACACATAATTTGTACCAATTTTTCAATACATAACAAATAATATCTGATAATAAAAATTAATCCAAACCTGAATATAAATCTAACATCTGAATCAACATATACGATATATTGACGCCCGCAGCTGCAAAAGGGTATTCCCATGTTGCTCGGTCACCGGATTGTTTAAATAATAACCTACAAAAAGCAGCGTTTATTTTGAACATGTATATATCAATTAGTAATTGATCAATATATAAAATGAACACTAGAAAAAAAAAAAAAAAAAAAAAAGAATACAACAGTCATCTGATAGATCATTAGTTGCAGCATCCAAGAAAATTTACCGGAAATTTTTTAGCTAAAAACAGCAAATTCTCAAGTGAAATAAATCCGCAACCCCTATGGAAAAAAAATAAAATAAGTCCATCAGTAAAACATTTTGTATAAAGTATACAACACAAAGCATGGAGGGGTTTGCTGAAGAAATATAAAGTATTTGGTAAAAGAGTAAATATGTTATCATGAACAAAATAGATAATCATATTTATCAAGAAATTCAAACAATTAAAAATCTTGTACTATTAAAAAAAAAAAGTGCAATTGTATTTGTACCTAAAGTCGGTTGATGGATTCACCCCATATCCTTCCATTGCTCTGAGGTCAAACTTTGAAGTTTAACATCCGGATATGCTAAATACCACAAATCTATGAGAGCTTTCTGTTGATAACATAAACAATTATGTCAAATAGATAATAACAATTAAACAACATATTAAAAATTAGATATGATATGAGAAAGCACTACATATGAAAATTAATAACGCAAATGAAATAAGACCAAAATGCAAAATGCTACTTAACTATTTTATGAAGTAATCAAACCACTTACTTATCATAATAATAATGATTATTATAAATAAAAAATCTAAAGCAGTGTTGAAATATACTTGATGTTCAAGGCTTTCTTCATCAAATGGTATGTTCAACCTTTCTTGAAGCCTTTGAAGACGCTCCTTCTGCAAGAAGTTGCTTACAAATTTATTATCTCCTAACTTTTTCCAAATTTGTCCTCATTTATATTTTCCTCTAATATAATTTTATCCAGACAACACTTTATGGATTACCTGTATAGGAGTGAGAGTGTAATCCAAGTATTTATTACTTTCAAAGCGCTTGAGGCCTGAGCGTCTAAAAATTCCTCCAATCAGAGTTCGTGATCCAACCATGACATCAGCTAAATTAAATACATGGAAAAGACAATAGAAAGCTTTAATTTTGATATGACAAAATTACCCTTTAGGCCTTGTCTGATCATCTAGTCTCAGACTCTCAGTTATAATAAAAAGATGGAAACTTTTGTTTCCACTTAAAGAATGACTTAACAGAGAAAAAAGAGGCTTTCTTTCTCCATTAGGTCTTAAATTTTGATAAATTTGTCCTCATTTGGTTAATGTTGTTAGTTGTTACATAAATATGCATTTAACCCAACATTAAATTACAACAAAGCAATAGGTGTAGAACATTTTCACTCACTAATTCATTTAATTGTGATTTTGTGGCAACAGAATCATGTGAAAATTTCAAGATATTCCCTTTCTTGAGTCTCCCAATGATAGTCATCTTCATCAACCTGGTTTGGAATTAGAAACAAATATATTAATCAAAAAGGAAAATCCTTTGTATAATAATGGAATAAACTAAGTGCATACATGAAATTAGAAAAAAGTTTCAGGACAACTGCAACCACCCACCTTAAAACAAGAGTAAAGTTTTAAATCTTACCAAACTTGTCCTTAAGTTTGCATTTTGTTGCGGATTTAGTCCCTCCGACAACTGAATGCAAGTCTTAAAAGAAATAACATTGGCCCAAACTTGGGATTTGAGTAAATCAAAGGGACTAAATACAAAACAAAATGCAAACTTAAAAGGCGACTTTGGGAGATTTTAAAAATTAGACCAAACTTGCGATTTTGAGTAAAGCACAGGGACCAAATTTGTAAAACAATCATCTAACTTCTGCTAGATCACGAGCTAAGGCCTAAAGTGAATCTTTGTTTAGCAAATTAAAAGGTCAAGGGAGTAATATCAATATGTTTTTACACGAGTAAAACATCTTTTTAACTTCTAAAACCCATATCTGGAAGATAGTAATAGTAATTTAACAAACATTAGGCATGACCTATGCGATAATATCATGATATCCCAAAAAAAAAAAAGAGAAAAGGAAATAAAGTTACAAATGGGGGATCAAGAGAGCAATCAAAGGGTAATTAGACCTTTTTTGAACAAAGAAAATGATGAAGTAAAGGGGAAAAGACATAATGAGATTATGAGACAATACCCAAATGATAAACCATACAGTCCATGAAGATGCAAAATCGGAATCCAAGAAAACAAACAAAAACCATATCAACAATAAATTAAACTAAGGAGGTGTAAATAGAAACAATACACATATAAGATATGAATCAATGAAAACATAGATATGTATTATTGATTGATTGAATAAAAACATATACAGGTATACGAATACCTCTTAAAGAAGAAGAAACGGGGATTCCATGGGAAGGATGATGGCGTGAGAAGGTGCGGGTGGCGGAGCCATCTACAGGGGGAAGCGGTGGAACAGAGGATCGAAGGGGATGGGGAGTTATGCGTTCAGGGGTTTGGGCGAAGGGACCCCAACAACCCTCACCAGAAAGGCAAAGGTTTTCTCATCCTGGCGTTTTTTTGGGTGTCTGGGATTGCTTTTATAATCACTTTTACTTTTTTAACTTTTTCAAAAAGTTAAAAAGATGTTTGGGTAATAAAAAAGTATTGATTTTTTTTTATAAAGTAAAATGAGGGGTTTCAAAAAGTCACAAAAACCTGACTTTTTGTGATTTTACACGTAAAAGTTAAGCTAAAAGTCATTTTGCTAATCCAAACATTTTTTAAAGAGCTTCTTTTACAAAAAGTCTTTTTACAAAAAGTCATTATACAAAAAAGACTTTTGATGTTTAAAAGCAATCCCAAACACATGTGCTTGCTAAATTCTTGCTGCCTTTTTTTTTTTCTAAAATTTATTTTAATTTAATGTTATATAACAAATGAAGATTATTTTTATTTATTATTTATGTTTGTATGTTAGTTTTGGGATAAATTATAATAATTATTATTACTAACTATGGGCGGTAAAACCTGTCAAGAAAACCATAGCCTTTCAATCTTGTATACTTTAAATATTAGCCCTTTAAAATTGCTAATTATATCGGTACTTCACTGATAACTTTCTTGCGCAACATCTCCGTCTTCAACTGCCCACGTCTCTCCTATCTCACTCTAACTCACACGGTTGCATAAATTTGAGAATGGAGACCAGATTCAACTACTCCCCATGTTTTTAATTGGAGTTGATAAAGAGCTTCACATCTGAATCGTTTCTTTTCTTTAGTCCTCTCTCTCTCTCTCACACACACACACATGCAACCACCACCATAAAAGCTTGAGGTCATTTCATTGATTCAATTACACGTGAAGATCGTTGATTTTAAGCATGAAGTGTCATAATATTCTATAACAATTTTTTTTCTTCACACTTGCTCCTTTGCTTCTTCTTTTTTTCTCTGGAGTCGCTCTCATCCAACTACATGTGACATCTCTCTTTTTCTCCCTCGTAAACCCTAAATAGTTGCTTCTTCTTTTTCTACCTCTTGTGGACGATTAGTGGGGTCTGATCCCTTCTCTCGCTTATGGTTTTCTTTTAAAAGCTATTGAATGCTTTGAGATGAAAAATATGAACTTCGATGTTAACGAAGACGATAGGGGGATGGAGATGTACCTAGAAGCTACTGGACTCTTCGTCTTGGTTTTACAGGTTGGTGTTGAACTTTATTTTCTAACTACTAGAATATGATTCTTCCAGTTTAAACCTAAACATCAAATTCTATATGGTACCAGAGCGGGTCAATTGATCTGTAATAGTTTTCATGGTTGATAGTGTAGTAACTGATCCTGATGGCAACGGAACTCCGGTTGCCAACCCATTTTCTGATACAAACTCACCATATTACATGCATCACAATGATTATCCAAGACAAACACGCGTTGACGAAAGCCTCACCAACAACAAATATTCTGACTGGTCTAGAAAGATGAAGGCTTTCTTATTCGCCAAAAATTATATCGGATTTATCGATGGATCCATTATTCAACCCGACTCGCCAATTGAAGTCATGGCAACAAAGTGATGCAATCCGTAACCTCCCAAAATTCATGACCAAAAAATTTCATTTTTAATATAACTAAAACACATTTGTAACTTGGTTCACACATTGAAAAGCATTTCAAATAAAACATTTATCATAGTTCATTCCCAGAAATCACATATTGCGGAAAACATAGGTGTATGCGTTGCGATCGTCCCGAGCTCCTTTATTTGAAAACTGGAGGTACCTGAAACCAAAACTGAAATCCATAAGCACGAAGCTTAGTGAGTTCCCCAAATACCACATACCATGCATATCAACATACTGCCTAGCATATCTAGGTGCTGGCCTACCCCTTCGGTCTCTTTCAACCGAATATTGTCTAGCATATAAGCACATAAATCACATACTGTCATACATAACCATGGGCCATACATATCATTCATATATCATAATCAATAAAGATGCTATGTGCCGATACATAGTCTTGATATTATGCCACGTGCCGCCACGTGGTCTTTCTTGCCAAGCTGGGGGCCACCCCCTGGGTCTTACAGACAAGTGCCAAGAGCCACCTCCTAGTCTTCCATGCAAGCATCACAAAGACAACTAGCATACATACTAATCTACTTAGCTAATTAGCATACAGTGTACCAGGAGCCACCTACTGGTCTTTCATACATAATGCCTAGGGCTAACCCCCGGGTCTTCCTATCATACATAATAGCATACAGTATGCCAGGAGCCGCCTCCTGGTCTTTCATACATAATGCCTAGGGCTAACCCGCGGGTCTTCCTACAACACATAAACCAAATGGGCCGGCATTGGTGCCTTCGACCCATACAAACAGTGAGGAGACTCACCTCGAATGCAGAAGCTCCCTGGAAGAAATCCTTAGCTGCTACCTCGTCGGCTTTCCGAGCTATCAATACCAGAACCAGATAAAATCTTAGTTAATAGGCCAAAACCCTCAAGTTTGGCCCAAGGTCAAACTTGGTCAAAAGTCAACGGTCAACCTAAGTCAAAGTCAACAAATCAAACTTCAAGCTGAGTACGCCCAGCGTACTCAGCTCGTACGCATGGCGTACTTACCAACCAGAATCAGGACCCCATATAAGTATGCGCAGCGTACTCGAAGGTACGCCCGGAGTACCAGGCTAAATGGCACTTTTCCATTAAGTGCTTAATCTATTAAGTACTTTCATCCAACACTCAGATCTAGTCCCACATCAACATTATAAGTCATAAAGTTTCCACCTTTATGACTTTCCATGTCTAGAAAAGGTCCAAAAGCTAAAACCTTAACTTATTAATCCATTAAGACATCATGATACTCTCATGGAAGGTATAAAAGGATCAAGATTACATTTTTATGGATCCTAAAAGCTCCATAATGGATAAAGTTTCCAACTTTATCCATTAGAATGGTCAAAACCACCAAGATCTAGCCTTTAAGCATCAAATGGGACCAAAAGTGCATTTTTTCAACTTAATTCGTTAAGTCCAAGTCTCCAACCTTTAGATCTGAATCACAATGATGTTTAGACGGATAAAGTTTCCAACTTTATCTATAACAATGTCACAAACTTTCAAGATCTAAACTTTATGCACTAAAATGACCAAAAGCTCATAACATCCAAAACTAGCTAGATCTAACAAATGCTTCATCAAGATTCAAACTTTATACCTCTAGAAGATAGATCAAGGTGAACAAAGTCCATATCTACAAGCTCCAATGCAACCAACACTTCTACAAGAAGTTCCTTCTTCTCCAAGGTGCACCACGCATACTCCAAAGCACTCAAAATCACCTTCTCTTAGCTCACAAGTCTCATCTAAGGTTAGGGTTTCATGAAAGGGGTGTTGGAGGGGTGGAGGCTGAGAATGGAGTGGGTTTGGGGGAGTTAAAGGAGCTTAAATAGGGCTTAAACCACGAAAATAGGGTTTGGGCACTGAATGTGTATGCCCAACGTACTCATGATTCAATTAGTACGCCCAACGTACACCTTTTTGTACGCCCACCGTACTCAGCTTGGCCTAAAACCACCCAAACTTCAAACAGTCATAACTTCTCCGTTCTAACTCCGTTTTCGACGTTCTTTATATCCACGGAAAGGTATTGAGGAGCTCTACAAACCCTGTCTAATTACTTTTGACTTAAAACACATCAAACTAAAATCCATACTTCATAAAAGAAGTCTCAAACACTACATTCCCATTTTACCCTTTGACTCCAAAGTGCAAACCAAACTATTGGGTCACATATCTACATTACCCACATCCAAATGGGCCTAAATATTACCTTTTCAAAGGCCCTAATCCTTATGATGATCATTTTTCGGGCCACAGCCTCCAATTAGGAATTGATTCGGAAGAGGGCGTTACACAATCATTAAAAGGTGGCGCATGACAACCATGGAAAAGGATTTCAGAAACATTGTAAAGTATGCCAAAAGAAAAAAGGAGATTTGGGATGATCTCGAAGAGAGATTCAACAAAGAAAGCACTCCATGAGCGTATGAATTAAAACACACTCTAATACGACTACAACAAGACAAAGCTTTTGTTTTAACATATTATACCAAGATGAAAGGGGTATGGGATGAAATACAACCGATTTCACCTATTCCCAAATGCACATGTGGGAAGTGTACCTGCGATCTAGGAAAAAACTTTTTTGAAGCAAAAGAAAAGGAACGACTCTACGAGTTTCTTATGGGGCTGGATGATCTTTTCAGACTGTAAAAACGCAGATTTTGAGCACCAAACCTATGCCTTATCTCGACACCACCTACCATCTTGTTGCAGAAGACAACCGACAAAGCAACATCTCCACATCAAGAAAGGTTACTATCAATGCTGCAACATTCCAAATGTATACCCAACAGATTTATGAAAAGGGTTAAAACGAGAATAAAATCATGAAAATTTGAAGAGCAAACACAATGGAGAACTTGGTCACACCATTGATGGGTGTTTCGAGAAAAATAGGTTATCTAGAATGGTGGGATACCCTGTAACATCCCAAGTTTTGTCATTTGTAGTCCATGGGGATGGAAGGGTAAAGCCATGAAGAGCCTAAAGGCTAAATTGTAATTTTGGGACCAGGAGGAGTACGCTGCGCGTACATAAGGGTACGCTGGGGGTACTCATAACAGAAGGAAACCCTAATATCTCAGATTGGGGGCTATATAAACATCCTTATGGCTCATTTTCTCTCTTCCTTCTCAGCCTCCATCTTCCAAAAACGTCCCCAAACCCTAGTTCTTGTGTGTGAGAGTGAGTTGGTGAGTATTTTGAGCTCTTGAAGGTGGAGCCATTGCAACAAATAGTTGAAGAAGGAGATTGGCTTGTAGATCTGAAGTTGTGTTGTGCCCTAGAAGCTCCAGAAGGTAAAAAGCTTCAAAATTTATGCTTGTAGGTCATAAATGTCACACCCGCGGACCAGACGGCGGAAACGTCCGGAGGCGGGTGACTTCATTGTGCAGTATCATAACAATTGAATATAAATGAAACAGAGCAATCCAAACATCATACATTGAGATAACAAACTTACATTGTTTACATATTGTATTTGTTCTTCGAGTTATACAAAAGAGACATAAGCAAAAAATTCCAAACTACAGCTAAATAGTCTTGCATCCGCGTCCCTTGTTACCTGCTTACTAGTTCCCTGAGAATACAAGTCGTTTTGAAAAGCGTCAACTAAAAAGTTGGTGAGTTCATAAGCATTTTTGTATAAAATCGTTTACACTTGTTTAGAATCGTTCCTATTGTACTTTCAGAAAATCCGATATTTTCTACGAAATCGTTTGAAGCCTTGCTTTGAAAATCATGGATATATGTGTGCATGTCATTACTTTTGTTCATCCTTATAAGGAGTGATTTTGAAAAGTAGTGTAATTTGTAAAAACGAGCTGTGTTCGAGAATAGTTCTTTTGTATAGTAATAGTCAACCGTTTCCAGAAAATCTCCTATTTTCAAAAAAGAGAATATGGTTGAAAATCTTGTTCTTCTTATCGAGTAAAATTAAGTGTACGTTCTAGTTTATCGTTATTGAAATCGTAGAAAATCGTTTTCTCCAGAAAATCCTATATTTTCTGCTATAAAATATTCGTAAGTTCTATTTCCAACTGTGTATATGTGTGGGTTAGTTTATCGTTTTCAAAATCGTTTACAAACGTTTTCCATAGAGTCCTACGCTTTTTAATTTGTAAAATATCAGTATTTAGACTCTATACTTGTTAGGAGAAAGAATCAACATGGCAAGGGTGGACATTCTACGCGATGAAAAAGGACAATCAAC